GACCGGGCTGGCGCATGTTAATGCTTTTTTTTTTTTTTAATGTTGCCTTGAAAAAAAAAATGAGTCATTGAAAATGAAAATGTAAGTATTTAGGCCTGTTTGTTGTTGATGAAACTCGCTGGATTTAGGACTTCCTTCAGGAGGCATCCCCAAAAGAATGTCAACCTGGAAACCTGTGATTTTTAGATTCGTTTTACTTTAGGAAGAAGGAAAGGAAAGCTGTTAAGCCTTGCAAGGCACAGATGTTTGTTAAAAAGTGTTTTGAACTCTCTAGTATGGTATATGCTAATTTTTCTTAGGCCAAAATAAATCTGATTTCATGTTCACGAGTCACACAAGTTATTGAGACTTAAGAAATAATAAAGATTCATTCAAATAATAAAGTTTATAAAATAATTATAAAGCACAATACCCTTATAAATTTCATGCAAACAAATGCATGCTATAATTATTTTTTTAATTAACTGTTAAATGTTTATGTGATCAATAATTTATTTATTGAGACACCTTGTTAATTTGTAAAACAAGACATTTAAATAGACATTACTATGTATCCTAACATTAAAAAACATGGAACTACTGTCTTATTGATGAAATCTATTTTTTTTTCTTTTGGGTTGATCATTAGATAAACTATATGTTTATATTTTTGTGTTATATTATTTATCTTGAATGCTTAGATCATTAACGTTATTTTATAAATGATTGGAATTTTGGAATGATTTGTCTTTTAAAACAACTTAATGAGACTAAAATTGTATCTTTTAACATGTCAATGATGAATAAAAAAGATCTAACTTAAGATAAAAATGTCATTACATAACTAAAAACTATAAAATCATTTTCTATATAAGAAAAAAACTTATTTTGTTTTCCACCGAAAAATAACAAATTTGGATTCTAAAAATTGAAAAACCGAATCTCATTTTATTTTTTCAATTTTGATTTTGATTTTGATTTTTAAAGGTTTGATTTCAATCGAATCCATGGAAACCAAAAGTGAATAACTGAACGTATATTCACTCTTATATGAAAGGGATGCTCTTACACCTTTAGCACGAAAAAGTTGCGATAACTTTGCATATTAAAGTGAATGAACATAGATATACCAGCTCACAAGTAACATATAAGGGATGCTCTAACACCTTTAAGAGGAGGAAATCTAATTAGTACAAAGTATGTCTGACTTATCACTTTGAAATTTATTAAAGAACATGGAGATGACTCCAAGAAAATCGAGTTTAATTTCCAAGCAGGAAGAACAAGTCACGCCAGCAAAATAAAGCAAAGGTGTAGTGAAACAACCAGGAAGAACAAGTCATGTCACGAATCATTCATATGGATTATGTGTCTCTTCTTGTCAACTGAAGTTGCAGCGATTGTAAATTTCCAGCCTGCTTCCCGATCCAAGTAAACACAGTGCAATTTCTTCGAAGGCCAGTGCACAAAAAAACCGATTTATTCGAAGCTAAATATCAAATATCTCATCAAATTATTGAGTTATTATCAATTTTATATCCAAATTATTTTCTTAATCAATCTTACCATTACATTATATTGACTTCTCAATTAAGATTTTATATTGAGATATTTATATAAGACGTGAATTTCTCTACAAAAAAAACCATTCATATAAGACGTGAATTTCTCTACAAAAAAACCATTCAAAAAACAGTTAAATTTAGATAATTAAAAACATCGTCAAAAGACTTTAAAATATATGGAAGTATTTGATTAATTTTTTTTAAGATCCTTGGGTAAAATTAATATAAATAATTTAGTGTTTTTGAGGTTTGCTCTTTATTCAAAGGTGCTAATTGAATAATCAGTAGTCTGTACATGTCTACTAATTTTTAGTCCACAGAGGCTTAGGACTAAGAATTGATGCATATACTCACATGGATTTATTTCAACCTATGATCCATTACTAGAATGTTAATGAATGGAGCATTTGAAGCGAGCACCTAGCCTCAATTAAAAAGAAAATTAATATAGGGATTAAAGTGTTTTTATAAAAAAAAATATGAGGATAAATTTTCTTTAATTAAGAACTTATTTCTATAAAGAATATCAAGTAAATATAAAGGTCCAAATAACTTTCGATGGGCCTAGAATGAATGACCAAGTATTTTTTTAGTCGTTAATATTAAAAAATCATCTCAATTTAATAGTTTAAACTTTTAGATGAGGTTTCATGATATGATTTATATTATTCTCTAACATGTCTCCTTAAGTAAAAGCTTTTTGGACTTGAAACTTGCACATATTCAAATTACTTTATGCTTAATTTTTATTAAATAAATAAGAATGGTGAGATTCAAATTCGTGACCGCTTGGTTATCAAAACTCTAATATCATGTCAAAAAATCATCTCAACTTAATAGCTTAAACTCTTAAATAAGGTCCCAAAATATAATTTATATTATTCTTTAATAGATATAATAAATAAAATAAACAGCAAAAAAACCCCAAAGAAAAATATGAAAATGCCCCAAGAATATATATATATATATATAAACTACTTGCATTCTACTTGACAAATATTTCTTAATTTACCAAGATGAAAAATTGAATATAGTTTAATAGCAGTAATTTTATTTAAAAACTAATTCAAATTTTTTTCATTAATAGTAATTTTAAAACATAATTTCCTCCCTCTCCTAAATAATCTTTTACCTAATCATCCCAAAATAAAATAAAAAAATCTATATCTTATAGCATGATTTTATTTTCCTTTTTAGTTAATTTCTAAATTGTCGTTTAACTAAATTGTGGTCGTGCTGTAGCGCTCTGGGCAAAAAAAATATCCACATCCACGACACATCCTTGTGGTATCCATCCAATGTCGGGTTTGGACTCACCCGCATAGATTCTCCCTTCACGCAATCTTAAAATTAAAATTAAAATTAAAAATTAAAACAAGCTTCTTAGCTTAATATAAACTTCTCATGCAACACAGGTCGCCTAAGAAAATTAATATACATTATTAAACTATACAAATATAGTCTATTTTCTAATTGATTTAGAGAGTTATCTGATATATATTACTAAAAAAAAATAATACGAATAAAAACTATATTAAACTAAACAATTTTATAACTGAGAGGAGGCACGCTGGCCTAGTCCACAGGAAAAATCATGGTATAAGTTCTTATTCCTTAAAAACCATACAGGATAGGTGTTTCTTTGATATCTAAATTAATAAAGTATTTCAGAAAAATAATATATAAAAGAAGAGAATCAAAATACAGGAGATTATTATTTTAAATTATTATGAGTGTAAATAGATTATTCAATTTTTCTTATACATCCTTAAATATTTATATACCACTAAATCACAAGAAATTGCAATACAGAGTTAGGGAGTTAGGGATACGGAGTTAGAGATATAGTGTGCATGTGCATCCTCTCGTAAAATTAATAAGATATTTATATTTGTTTGAAATTATAGTGGTGATGGTGATTTAAAATATTTTTTATTTAAAAATATATTAAAATAATTTTTTTTTAAATTAGCATATTAAAAAGATCTAAAAATATAAAAAAATTATTTTAAATAAAAAAAATTAAAATTTTTAAAAATATAATTTACATTATGTTTTCAAACACTCTTTTATATAGATAACTTGCAGTGATCCTAAACATGCCTTGAAGCTCGTTTGACAACGCCACGTGTGATAAGAACTTAGTGGTGCTATCACAAAATGGATCAATGGGCTTATCGGTTTGAATTGGTTCCCTTTTATTTTACTCATGCATTGAGCTTGGTTGGGACTTTTCTCTCATTTTTTTTTTTTATCCTCTCCTTTCTCTCTCTCTCTCTCTCCCTTCCCTTTTTTTTTTTTTCCCTCTCTCCTCCCTCATCCCAGTGAGGCTTCCTTTGACCTTTGAGAAATTAAACCACACTTAACATAAAACTCTCCTTATATGCCCTAGTATTTCTTTTAAGAGCTTTGAAAATAATATTGGAGTTTTTATTGTCATTTTCTGTGCATCAATTAGTAAATTTCTTGACCGAAGATGCTGGGAAGATGGCATAAGATCTCAAGAATTGCATTTGCCATGGCGCCGAATCATTTGGAAAGTTTGGATTTTTGAAAGAACCACAGCTGTGTAGTTACATTCATAAAAAATTATTTGTTGAAATAGTGTTTTGTGTTTTCTTTCTTTCATTTGTTTAGTTTTTTTTCTTTTTATTAATTCACCTTTTGACAACCCAATCCTTTTTATTTAATTTTATTTTTAATTATTAGATTGTTTTAAGAATTATATCTTATACTATTTTATTTTATTTTAAGATCTCATTTGCTTATAATTACTGCGCGTAATCAAACTTAAAAAAGTTAGGTCAGGTATAAACCATATAACACATCTGGTCTCATTGTTTTCGGCCTTGACTTCTCGCTAAATTTCACCTTTTGACAACACAATCCTTTTTTATTTAATTTTAAACCACTCCCAAATAACATATAACATATGTAGCCAAAGGCATGTCCTCCGCATTAAACTGGTCAAGTACGCAGTACCCAACTAGATTTTTTGTCGGAACGCAGCAAAATCAAAATGGTTTTTTTTGTTTTTTTTTTCTTTCATAGAACATGAGCGATATATATGTAAAGTACAAATTAAACTGGTCTGGTCTAGAGATTTATAAATTGAGAGAACAGATCAAATATTTATCTGCATCAATACAACAAAAAACCAATGGTCTTATTGTATGAATCTCAATCAGCTTCAATTTCTTAATATACGCTACCTTCTTATTTCTCAGCATGGACGCTCCTTGCTGGCATTTCAACATCCACCTCAAATTTCACAGAGCAGTTTCGGCACTTGAAGAATACATAAAATGCGATAGCAAGAAGGAGCATGGCGAGGACACCAGCAAGCCCTCCTTTAGCAGCTGAGGAGTAGCCTGCTGTGGCCGAGTCTTGCGCAGGGGGGTGCAGGGTGTAACCATCCATGGCTTAAAACTACAAAAAGGAATGGTTAATTAGAAGAAAATAAAAGCAGTAATGTCTCAAGTGAGATTAGAAAGAGATCGTATTGATAATATTACCAAATTTGAGGAGGAAACACAGGAGGAGACAAGTTAGCAGAGCAAGAGTGGATGCTTAATTTTGTGAATAAGAAGATGCATGCATAACAAGTATAATAAAAAGAAATTAAATAAAAAGCGCATCCAAGAGGAATATCCCTCAAGATCACATAGTAATAGAAGTAGCGAAAATCTCTAATTGCCATAACACAAATAATTTGCCTGGGATTGTTGAGGAATCTTTACCTGAGTTTAAATGCCAGAAGAAATACAGAAACTACTTGAAGAAGGGGCAAGCTAATAAACAAGAAGAATGAACACAAATCTTGGACAATCACAATAAACACACAAAACGCAAGCAAGAATGGAGGGGAGAAGTTTGCAAATGGGGATGGGAAAGGAGAGTAAAGAATGAGACCCTTTTTATACACCATGAGAGACGACGAGCCGGCCTTGCCTTCTACACCTTACTTGTGGGGTTTAATTTGATATATATATATATATATATATATATAATAAGCAGTGGTGCCTCTCTACCGCATAACCTTCCAGTGGTATCATTGTTCCTTTCACAAAACCGCTTTTCTTATAAGCAGTGGTGCCTCTCTACCGTATAACCTTCCTGTGGTTTCATTGTTCATTTCACAAAACCGCTTTTCTCTTTCCTTGTGGTCAATATTTTCATAAATCCACCTGTCTACCCTCTCTATCACTGTAGCTGTACGTTGAAACAGGGCAAAACCGGAAAAAAAGAAAACACTTTTTTTCTCTTAATTTGATTTCTTAAGCCTGGCAATTTCAATTGGCCTGTAAACTGCTGTCAATTTCAATTTCAATTTCAATTTCAATTTCTCTGGTAAGAATTGACCTGTAAAAACATTGCAAGGCTTGGCAATTTCAATTGCAATTAGGGAGAGAAGTAAACTGTCAATATAATTTGTTCAAGAAAATGGAGATAACTTAAAGGATAACGAGTTTTCTTGCATTCTACTTGGACAATAATATTTCTTAATTTCATGAGGTGAAAAATTGACTATTGTTTAACAGCAGTAATTTTATTTAAAAAATAACTGAAAATTTCTTTTCACTAATATTAATCTTAAAGCGTGATTTCTTCCCTCTCCTAAATAATCCCCCAGTAAAAAAAATCCCCCTTTTGTTTTCAATCTTCTATTTGCCCCCGATATTTATTTTCCTTGGTTAGTTTCTAAATTGATGTTTGATTAAATTGGTGACCTGCAATATGCAGCTAACTGTGTAAAAAAAATTTAATATAAGAAAATATTTAGGCAAGATTAGTAACTTTAAGAAAATAAAAGAAATTCAAAATTTGAATTATTGATTCAATTGAGTTTAATAAACTCAATTAATTTAATAATATAGATAAAAAAACAATTGTTGATAAGCTGAATTAAATAAAATAATTGTCAATCATTAATTGCAAAGAAAAAATATAATGGCAAATATCCCTTTAATATTTTTAAAAGAATTTTATAATTTTATTTGATAAATGAAAATGGTCTCATTCATTAATCATAAAATCATGGCTTCCAATGCTTCGATTCCCATGTCCTGCTCCTTTCCATAGCCTGCCAATTCATTTCATTCAACCAAGCAGTATTAAAACATAGATATTCATCACAGCAACACAACACTCCTCCACTGGGAAGGAACCATCAACCAACCAATATAGGTAAATAATAAACAATTAATTCAAAGATCCATTTAAGAAAATCAAAGAAAATTACCAGTCAAGCTCGATAATTTTAATCTCCTTCTGTCCCTCCCTTCCTCCAGGTCGCGGTTGCTATATTTTCTTTGTAATAGAAAATTCCCTAATTCTTGGTTTAGGGAAAGTGATGAAGGATATCACTGTAGGTAAACTATAACATGTAGCAAAGATGAACGGGCTTTGCTATAAGAGATAAAAGGTATTAATCTAAAATAATTATACAATATACCAAAAGGAATTAGTATTTTTATTGCTGTTATCTAGATACAAAGGAATGTGAACTATTAGTGATATTACAAATTTAATTTTTTTGGTTAATAGAGCCTTTATTAATAAAAAATATATACTATTAATTTTTTCAATATTTTATATTTTGATGTTATTTGACCGGTCCTCAGTAATTTCTTAAATATTATGTAATATTATTCATACTGATATATATTTTTAATTTTTTTTTAACTTTTTGTATATTATTTTTTTACATGGGGCTCCAAAAATAAACAATAAAAAATGCCCTATCATTACAATACTTATAAAGCACAGATTTGTCAAGTGCTTCCCGTATTTATTTTTTTAGATTAATACTCTTTATTTTTTTATTTTGTTTAGAGAGCTTCTTTTAAATGATGATTTTTTTTGTTATATATTTTATTTTTTAAGAGTTTTTTCTTATTCATCTATAATTTGATAGTATTTGAAAATTATTTATTTATAGTTTTTTTTTTATCTTTTGTGTAGATGAATTTTATTTTTTAATATAAAAATATTTATCTTTTTGATAATATTTCTAATATGTAGAAAATTGCATAATATATTTTTATTTTATTTAATAAATTTAATGTGTTTGTTGATTTTTATAATAGATCAATAATTTTAATAAATAAATTTAAAATTAAAATTATTTTGATAAATAAATTTAACAAATATAAATAGATAAATATCATGTTTTATTTTAATCTACATCCGTTACACACACACATCCTAGTCACCACAATGTTGTATTAAAATCAACTTCATTCAGTAAAGGAAAAATTGAGATTTCAGCTTGTAAAACGATTGTGTGAATTTACTCAGGAAAAAAGAAAGCGCTTTATAATATGATTGTCTAGACTTGCGTTCGTGTTGCAACAAACGAGTCCATCCCAGCACCTTTGAATTATAAAATTCAACTAATTATATTTCTACATGTAATATAAAATAACTATATATTTCATCAAGGTGATAATTGAAATTTTAACGGTATGATAGCAAGTAAAAGAGATTTTATAATTATAAATTAGATATAAAAATAGTAATAGGATAATTTAAAAAATTATATTTATTATAATAGATTGATCCACAAAACTCATAATTAAAAGTTTAACTCGTGTCGAATTTTAATTTATACAAGTAAAAACATTAATTTTAATATATTTGATTACTTTAACTATATTTTTAACCATTTATTTAATCCAATCAAATTTGATCAAAACTCAATTAAATTAAATCAAATAATTTTTTTAAAAAATAAAATTATATTATTGAACTATATATGTATTTTTATTTGAAGTATGTATTTTAAGGTACTTTAACTATATATAAATTTTTATTTAAAATATGTATTTTCAGGAACTTAAACTATGTATATATTATTATTTGAAGTATTAATTTTTTGTTAATGTATTTTAAAATTCTTTATAATTTTATAATTTTTTTTTACAATTCAAGTTTATATTATATTTTTCATACAGTATCAAAATAACAATTGTAACAACCTTGATCGAGATATATCCCAGTAATGAATTAAATATTAATCTCAGATTAAACTTTGTTTATGGTTAAAAATAGAATTTAAAAGAAAAATGATTAAATTAACAACAAAAATGAAACAGGCCCCATGTACGCAAATATTATCGCGGCAAATATCTTGCTTTCCAATCAAATTTTAGGATCCCCGAGTTCCAACTATAATTAAAGATATGGAATTGAGATCTATTTTTATAACACTTTTTTTATTCAAAGAAAAAGACCCAGTAGAAGAAAGAAATGTTCTTGAAATCAATTTTCGTTTGTTTTTTTATAATTAAAATAATTTTTTTCTTTAAAGTCTTGCCAATCCCATTGGGCAGGATCTATGGGAAAGGGTGACGAGTCGGTCAATAGAGATCCTATATTCTGGAGCCCGGTCTGAGCATGTCAGTACCACAACAGTTACTGAGGGCTTTTGAAGTGGCTCATGAACTCATGACATGATTATGCCCATGTCTAGGTAGCGTATATTCTTTTATGTTATGAGTACTATGTTGTAAATCCCATAAACTAGCACATGTCAATATGGGGAAAAAATATATTCGCAGAATAACTAAAAAGAAAGAAAGAAAAGTCAATAAACTTGTATTTTGATAGGTAAATTTATTAAATTTATAAATTAAATAATTTAGATTAATATGTCAAATATGTAAACCGGATAATAAATTATATTGCAATTGATAACATGTATTTTTTAAAATTATTATTTTATTTAACTATATGATAACAAAAATAAATGATCGTTAGAATTGAATGTCAAACAAATACTAAGATTTCTCTTTAAAATTATGATAATCTCATAAAAAATAAAATAAAATAAATAATAAAATTCAATTCTCAGTTGATCTAATATTGAATGATAAAAATAAAAAAAATAAAAAAATTTAAACTTGTTAAACCCGTCAATAGGCCCATAAACTTTCTAAAATTTAATAAAATGTTTTTTTATTTTTTTAATGATAAGATAAAAAAAACAGAATTTTAGAGGACAAAACCGAATAAAATAAAAAAAAGGATCTCAAAAAACACCTAGGCCACCTAGCTAAATTTGTTACTTGAAATATAAGATGTGGATAACTATATTGGAAGAAAACCAAATAATGAACTTTTTTTTTTTGAATGAACAACTTCAAAGGATTTAAATGATGTAATCAGAGAAACAAATAATGTCAACAATTTTTCAGATCCATGACCCTAGCTAGTGACTAAACTAGAAGTAACCTATATGGAAAACCACCATTGTAAAACTCGAGTTTACCCAATGGATTAACTAGTGGGCTGGGTTTCAAAAGAAATTTAAGGAGAATTGACTCAATGTGAAATGATAAAAAAACACGGGTTGACCTGTGACTCAATGAACCAATGACAAACCTAGTCAAAACTTGTTGACTATTTTCCTTTATTTTTTTTCAAAATGATGTTATTTGTATTTTTTTATAAAATAAAAAAAAATTGATTAACCTGGTTTAACTCGAGTCAATCCACTTGATCTGCGACAGATACTTGGACTGGATCGACTCCCAAACCAACTCCTAAAAAATAAGAGGAGAGCCTAAAATTTTGAATTAAATGGCAAAATTAAAAAGAAAAGACAAGTTAACAAAAAAATCCAAAACAAAAAAATCAACAGAATAAAAACTAAATTTGAAAAAAAAATACAAAATCAAGATTATAAATCCATATATGAAATTGAAAACAAATTAAAATTTGATAAAAGGGCTAAGAATCCAAATTTAAACTCAAAACATTAAGGGTCAAACCTTAAATTGAATGGTAAAATTGAAAAAAAAATAATCAAATTCACTAAAGTATCCAAAACAAAAACAAAAATCAACAAGGAACCAACTTGAAAAAAATTAAAAACAAATTAGAACTTCAAAAAATGATTAAGAATCAAACTTAGAAATCAAAACATTGAAAATCAAACATAAAATGTCATAAAATAAGAGGACATAATTTATATTTTTTTAACAGCCAACACAAAATTTAATGGGAAAGAAAGAGAAAAAAGACCAAAAAAAAAAGAAAGGAAGGGGTGGCTAATAACAAATCATCATTATAAAAACAACACACGTCGCCCCGTATGAAACAGGTCGTCGAAAAGCTTCAAACATTGTAATGAGAGATAAAAAAAAAAATTCAAGTTGATCTATTATTTTCACAAAGATAAAGAGAAAAGGTATTTAAATAGTTTTTTTTTATTAAATAGAATTCGTTGACACCAAGAACTAGTTTCATCATAAAAAAATATCATTAGTCGATTTTCTCTCTCCCATCCATTTTTCAACAAATCTCTCATCTGTCAAGTCCAATGAATATAAAAGATATTGAACCAAAATATTCGATTAAGAAACTAAAAGGACCACATATTTTTTTTATGAAATATTAAATGGATAAAAGAAAAGAAAAGATAAATTTTGAACATTGAGATAAAAAGAAAAACCATTAATACTTTCCATAATATAAAGAAAAGCCATTAATATTTTCCATAATATCAAATAGGATCCCTAAATTTATAATTTTTTCAATTGGCATAACTAAATTTTTTTTTTCTTGTAAAATTAAACATCAATCAAATGTTGATATATTTCTTTGAAATCCAAAAAAACCTATAGAAAACAACTAAACTAAATCAAGAGCTTGAAATTCTATATAATGCTATTTTTGAAGACTAATTTATAAAAATATATTGGTGATTCAAACAAAACGTTTCTAAAGGAAACAAAAAATTCAGCATTGTTTTGGTGAACAATGCAATGCAATGTGAGGTAGCCCATAATGTTTTTGCCATGAGTTTTAGTTTTTCTTTAAATTGGAAGTTTACCTTCTAATTTATTTATTTATTACATGTCAAATACTCATTTATTAAATTTATATTTTTTTTAGCATTTTTCTTTCTTCAAATTTTCCATCTCAATACAACTGATGTATCCTGATTTTGTCACTCTACCAACCTGTTTATTTTTACGTTTAAAAAATAGAATAATTTTATATGAAAAAAAAATAATTCTAAATAAATTAAATATTAAAAAACAAAATAAAAAAAACAAAATCAACCCTATAGATTTGAAGGTAAAACAATACTTTATGATTTTATGATTGATAAATAAAGATTTAGTTTTTTTGAAGTTTAAATTCACTTTTTGTTAAATTGATAAAAAAATAATCAAATAGGATCATGTGCTTGTTAGATATCCACTGCAGTGAAAAAACTAGGTGGGGGCAGACTTCGTAGATAAAAGGGCACTCTCTAGCGGATGAAATGCTTAAAAGAAGTAGAAAGAATTTTGATCCAAGGATGATTAAATTTTACTTTAAATTCTGAATGAGGTCAGCCCTTTCAGGGTTAGCAGTTTCGGTAATCTTATGACATTTTCATTAAAAAAAATTACTCGATATAATATATCACAGAATAATTTTATTGATGATTGGCAATAGTATTTAGAATAATTTTATTCTAACCCTTTATAAAATATCAACCAAATAAATTTATGGATAATATAACAATTAAAGTGACATATATAATACATAATTTTGTTAGTAATTAACAGTAGTATTTAGAGTAAATTTATTTCAATCCTTTATAAAATACCAACAATATAATTTTATAGATCATGTAATAATTAAAATAACATATACAATGACATACGAATAAATTTTTTAAATTATCTGCAATATACTAAAATTCATTGTAGAATATATATATATATATATATATATATAATTGTTTGAATAAAGATAGTCGTGCAGGTCACGTGGATTGCCATCAAAATAAAGGAAAGGTATAGTGAAAGAACAAGGAAGGACAAGTCATGGATCATTTATAAGTATACTGTTGCATCGATTGTAAATTTCCAGCCTTCTTCCCGGTCCAAGTAAACACAGTGCAATTTCTTCGAAGGCCAGTGCACAAAAAGACAGATTTATTCGAAGCTAAATATCAAATATCTCATCAAATTATTGAATTATTATCAACTTTATATCCAAATTATTTTTTTAATCAATTTTACCATTAGATTATATTGACTTCTCAATCTAGATTTTATATTGAGATATTTAATATAAAACATTAATTTCTCTACAAAAAGACCATTTGAAAAACAGTATAATTTAGAAAAAAAAACATTGTCAAAAGCTTTAAAATACATGGAAGTATTTGATTATTTTTTGTTAAGATCCTGAGGATAAAATTGATATAAATAATTTAGTATTTTTGAGGTTTGCTCTTTATTCAAAGATGCTAATTGGATAATCAGTAGTATGTGCATGTCTACTAATTGGCAAATTTCGTAAATCAGTAGTCTGTACATGTCTACTAATTGGCAAATTTCGTACAGAGGCTTAGGACTAAGAATTGATGCATATACTCACATGGATTTATTTCAACCTATGATACATTACTAGAATGTTAATGAATGAAGCATTTGAAGCGGGCACCTAGACTTAATTAAAAAGAAAATTAATATAGGGATTGAAGTGTTTTGATGAAAAAATATGAGGACAAATTTTTTTTTGTTAATTGACATATGAGTTAATTCGTAATTCAAGTAACTTCGTTCAATTATTCAAGATGGAAGTGAATAATGATTGTTGCCTTCAAGCACAAGTGAAAAGGCAGATGGAGATTTCCGAGTGAGTTTGCACTCTAATTCATGGGCGGTTAGGATACGGGCAAAAACGCAAAATACCCTTTGTATTTGGTAATCATGCAATGTGTTTTCCTAAAATACTTTCTTAATTAAAATGATGACTTTTATATATTTTTTATTTTTATCATCAATAGATTAAAATAGAATTATAGTTTTAAAAAAGTAAGTTTTTTTAAAAATATAATTAAGTATAGCTAGTTAAATTTAGATATATATTTAATAAAAATTATGGTTGAATTTTATATACAACAAAAAAACACGTATAAAATATTTTATTATAGTTATTTTTCAAAAAACAATTATTTAAAAATACATCAAAATAATTTTTTTATTTTTTAAAAATTATTTTTGATATCACCACATCAAAATAATTTAAAAATATAAAAAAATTAAAGTAAAAAAAATAAAAAAATTAAATTAAAAAATACTTTTAAAATACAAAAACAAATAAAATTTTAAAAAATTCAATTAAAAAAATACATAAAAACTTCTTCATACAAACTACATTTCAAACTTAATTTTTTTAATGAATCTCATAATATAAAATAAAGTTAATATATTACCAAATATTTAATTGTATTTTGTACACCGCATACACAAAAGCTGCGGCTAAACAAACGCACAAAGATTTTGTTTGCAGTCTTTTTCTGATGGAAAAAAAGAGAGCACAGAATAGCCTGAAGGCTTATAGGGAACATAATTATAAGGCAATCACGATGACAGCTTAACCAATTATAAAAGATGGAATCTTTTAAACTTAATGACAACATTATCGGTCTTGTTAGAAAATAAACGTGTTAGAGGTCAAAGTTTTGCTGGCTGCTATCAATTATGATGCCATGTTGGAATCGATTTCCACGGCAAACTTTAGCAGAAAAAAATAATAATTTACGGAGATTGAGCATACACAGCAAAGCATATATAGAGATCTCGATAGAACTCACGGCTTCCTGTTCACCTCTTTTTCCCACTGCAAATAAAACTGATCGAGCTAAGAATCCAAACAGCACAACTAAAGGAGCATGGCATAAGAAAATGACCAAACTCCGGGGAAGAGGAAAAAACACGGCACCATGATGATAGAACAGCCAGACAACCTAATAACCTGTGGAAATATTGATATTTTGAAGCGATGGTTACAAGTATGAAGGCCATTCTCGCTAGATTGAATTTCTGCCATTGCATATCATTGGTTTGTTTGCTTTGAAAAAAATCAAAAAGATAGAAAGGGAGGAGCACCTCTAAATTCATCATCCATAAGCATGGCTTCCAATGCTTCGATTCCCATGTCCTGCTCCTTTCCATGGCCTGCCAATTCATTCCATTCAACCAATCAGTTATTAGAACATAGCATGCCCCATCACTGCAACACAACACTCCTCCACTGGGGAGGAACGATCAACCAACCAATATAGGTAATAATAAACAATTAATTCAAAGATCCATTTAAGAAAATCAAAGAAAATTACCAGTCAAGGTCGATAATTTTAATCTCCTTCTGTCTCTCCCTTCCTCCAGGTCGCGGTTGCAATTTTTTTTCTTTGTAATAGAAGATTGATTAATTTTTTTAAGATCCCGAGGGTAAAATTAATATAAATAATTTAGTGTTTTAGAGGTTTGCTCTTTATTCAAAGGTGCTAATTGAATAATCAGTAGTCTGTGTATGTCTACTAATTTTTAGTCCACGGAGACTTAGGACTAAGAATTGATGCATACACTCACATGCATTTGAAGCGGGCACCTTGACTCAATTAAAAAGAAAATTAATATAGGGATTAAAGTGTTTTTATAAAAAAAATATGAGGATAAATTTTCTTTAATTTAAAACTTATTTGTATAAAAAATATCAAGTAAATATAAAGATCCAAATAACTTTCGAATGGACTAGAATGAATGACCAAGCATTTTTTTAGTAGGTATTATTAAAGAATCATCTCAAACTAACAGCTTAAACTCTTAGGTGAAGTTCTAAGATATAATTTATATTATTGTCTAAGACACCTCTTCAAGTAAAAGTATTTTGAGTTTGAAACTTGCACAGACCGACATTATCTTATACTTAATTTTTATTAAATAAATAAAGATAATGAAATTCGAACTCTTAACCGTTTGGTGATCAAGACTCTTATACTATATCAAAAAATCATCTTAATTTAATAGTTTAAATTCTTAGATGAGATTCCACAATATGATTTATATTATTCTTTAACATATAATAAATAAAATAAACAGCAAAAAAATCCAAAAAAATATAAAAATACCCCAAGAAAACACACACACATATATATAAACTACTTGCAGTCTACTTGGACAATAATATTTCTTAATTTACCGAGATGAAAAATTAAATATAGTTTAACATCAGTAATTTTATTTAAAAATTAGTTCAAAATTTCTTTCCACTAATAGTAATCTTAAAACATAATTTCCTCCCTCTCCTAAATAATCTTTTACCTGATCATCCCAAAATAAAATAAAATAAATCCATATCTTATAGCATGATTTTATTTTCCTTTTATATTTATTTTCCTCTTTGGTTAATTTTTAAATTGTCATTTAACTAAATTGTGGTCGTGCTGCAACGCTCCGGGCAAAAAAAATATCAACATCTACGACACATCCCTATGGTATCCATTCATTATCGGATTTGGACCCACCCGCACAGATTCCCCCTTCATGCAATCTTAAAATTAAAATTAAAAATTAAAACAAGCTTCTTAGCTTAATATAAACTTCTCATGCAACACAGATGGCCAAAGAAAATTAGTATACATTATTAAACTATACAAATATGGTCTATTTTCTGTAATTTATTTTGAGTTATCTGATATATATTATTAAAAAAAATTAATATTAATAAAAACTCTATTAAACTAAATAATTTTATAACTGAGAGCAGGCACGCTGGCCTAGTCCACAAGAAAAATCATGGTATAAGTTCTAATTCCTTAAAAACTATACAGGATAGGTGTTTCTTTGATATCTAAATTAACAAAGTATTTCAGAAAAATAATATATAAAAGAAGAGAATCAAAATATAGGAGAGTATTATTTTAAATTATTATGAGTGTAAATAGATTATTCAATTTTTTTTATACATCCTTGAATATTTATATACCACTAAATCACAAGAAATTGCAATATGGAGTTAGGGATACGGAGTTAGAGATATAATGTCCATGTGCATCCTCTCGTAAAATTAATAAAATATTCCTATTGTATTTCAATACTTGACGTAGCGGTGGAAGGAGTTTGTCTCTTTTTACTATACCTGGGTTCGAGCCCTGGCATGCACGTCTGTCATCCCCACAGTGTTTTATATGTCTACTGCGTTTGCAGGGTATTCAGTGGGCCATAAGGATTAGTCATGGTACGCGCAAGCTAGCCAAACACCCTATGTAAATAAAAAAAAAATAATAATAAAATATTCATATTTGTTTGAAATTATAGCAATGATGGTGGTTTAAAATATTTTTTATTTAAAAATATATTAAAATAATTTGTTTTAAATTAGCATATTAAAAAGATACAAAAATATAAAAAAAATTATTTTAAATAAAAAATTTTAAAAAATTTTAAAATATAATTTACATTGTGTTTTCGTATAGATAACTTGTAGTGGTCCTAAACATGCCTTGAACCTCGTTTGACAACGCCACGTGTGATAAGAACTTAGTGCTGCTATCACAAAATGGATCAATGGACTTATTGGTTTGAATTGGTTGCCTTTTATTTTACTTATGCATTGGGTTTGGTTGGGACTTTTCTCTCATTTGTTTTTTTATCCTCTCCTTTCTCTCTCTCTCTCTCTTCCCTTTTTTTTTTTCCTCTTTCCTCCCTCATCCCAGTGAGGCTTCCTTTGCCTCTGAGAAATTAAATCACACTTAACATAAAACTCTCCTTATATGCCCTAGTATTTCTTTTAAGAGCTTTGAAAATAATATTGGAGTTTTTATTGTCATTTTCTGCGCATCAATTTGTAAATTTCTTGACCGAAGATGCTGGGAAGATGGCATAAGATCTCAAGAATTGCATTTGCCATGGCGCCGAATCATTTGGAAAGTTTGGATTTTTGAAAGAACCACAGCTGTGTAGTTACATTCATAAAAAATTATTTGTTGAAATAGTGTTTTGTGTTTTCTTTCTTTCATTTGTTTAGTTTTTTTTCTTTTTATTAATTCACCTTTTGACAACCCAATCCTTTTTATTTAATTTTATTTTTAATTATTAGATTGTTTTAAGAATTATATACTATACTATTTTATTTTATTTTAAGATCTCATTTGCTTATAATTACTGCGCGTAATCAAACTTAAAAAAGTTAGGTCAGGTATAAACCATATAACACATCTGGTCTCATTGTTTTCGGCCTTGACTTCTCGCTAAGTTTCTCTGTTATCTTAGCCCTTGCGATTATGGTCTTCAAGAGAAGGAAACATTTTTAGAACAAAGTATATCTGATCCATCACTTGGCAATTTCAATTGCAATTAGGGTTTGAAGTGAAACTGTAGCCATAATTTATTACAGAACATAGAGATGACTCGAAGGAACTGGACTTTTCCTGCATTTTACTTGGACAATAATATTTCTTAATTTCTTGAGATGGAAAATTGACAACAGTCTATCTTCAGTAATTTTATTAAAAAAAAAACCGCATAAAAAAAAAACAATCTTTTTCATAAGGTTAGAACATGCTGGCACAACGGGACTGGATAAGGGGGGCGCGGCGCCAACTGCATTGCTGACAGGCATGCATTGACCGGTGATTGGTGCTTTAAGAGATCAACCTGACCTGACATGCATTTCAATCATGGCTTAAACTACCAAACACAGCTCTTCGCATCAAACTCAAAAAGCTGCCCTTCGCATCAAAATCAAAAAGCGACACAACAAATCAGTTTTATGAGCTGCTTCAAATCCTTCAAAGCAAGTACATGTCTCCTGCACAGAAAAACCAAAAGGCTGCC